GACGTAGGAGGAGGGGGAGGAGGGGGAGGAAAGCAGGTGGGGGAGAAGGAGGGAGAGGAGGGGAGAAAGAGCAAACACAAACGGGACGTCAACAAAGCCTCAGCCACGACCTTCGCAAGAGACGGCTTCACGCGACTGATGCCGCTCTCTTGGCCGCACGGCAAAATGGCCGCGTGAATATCGATCCGTCCGGCAGGAGGCCGCGTTCAAATTGCCTTTGCTTGCTCCACTCGTCGGCTGGCCCCTTTTGCTGCTAATGCTGGTGCTGGTGCTGCTGGTGCTGCTGCTTAGTAAAAGTAGTAATGTTAGGCGGAGAAGCATGAGGAGGATGGTAGTCGTTGAATTGGTTGGAAACGTGATCTGTTCAGGTCATTGCGTTTGAGGTGAGAAAAGGAATTACGGTTGCATCTGGCCACGACGTGAAGAGTGAACGGCAAGTTTGCATTCAACTTCGCATCGCCTCGATTGGCCAAAAGCAATTCGACAGTCGCGAAAGCGCTCTTTCAATTGTCCCACCTTGTTTTCGCGACATGGTTCTGTTCGTGGCAAGAGCTTGAGGCAAGCACTTGGTCCGTAGTCCCCAGTCGGACCGCGGACGTGGAACATTCGCAGACATGGTCAGTGCGAGCCGCCAAGTATTGTTTAAGCTTCGTAATTAATCGAACCCAGACATTTGGCCCAGCTAAACAAAAACGCATCTTCTCGAGCGCGCCATATGATCGCACTAGACACGTCGAGGCGAGTAGAACATTTGCGACAGATTTGGAATGTTCTGGAAGATCTTGCGAAAAGTATACAAGCAAGCTTTGTCGGCTGGATTGAGTCAGTCGACTTGTAATTTGAGTCTAGTCAAGTCGAACTCGGCGCTTCATGCATAAAATAAACAGTGACATGAATTAGTAAATGAGTTGACATTGTAATTTAGTTAGTTAGTGTTATATTACTTCTTGTTGGTTGGCTTTGATAAATAATTTTGTGATTTTTGGGCTGTTTTATCTTTGATAAGGGACCGATTTGTGAACAGTTGTAAACGTAAAATAGTGCAGATGAAGAAAGCATACCTTTAACCAGTGACACTCGTGTGAAAGTGCAGTGATTTGCAGTCTCATCCATCACATTAATTGTTACCTGTTAATTCAATGTTAATAAAGTAAAAAATACAATGGAGATGCACGAGTTTTATTTATTTTTATGTCTTACTCACGAATAGTCCTACTTAGGGTAGGGCGCGATGGCAACATTTTAATTGAAAAAGGACACTGCGACTAGAAAAGCTTTTGGAACCGCTGTGCTATGGTGCGCCCTTTCGAGCGGATCTCTTGAAAAGCCTCCACACTCGACGCTGGCCTTCCACCCCCTTCACGCTTGTGCTGGGAATGTCGGTCAGAGTCTGCCCTATTGTTACGCAGTCCTTCTTCCCTCGGTCTTATCGCAGTCTCTCTCTCCCTCGCTCAAGTGTTTTGCTTGTCTTCAATGTGTTGACTCACAGCATGCGTCGGTTGGAACGCAATAGACTAGGGCATAGGGACACACAGACTTGGTATTTGGAACAGAAACAGGACAGACGTGGCGGAGACTGAAGCTGATTGGCTGACAGTCGGCCTGTTTGCCAAGAGACATGGCTTGACGATGAAACTTACTCTGCGGCTTGAGTCTCGAATTAGTCACCGAGACGCGGGGAGGGCGAATAACGCCTCGAGTGGCAGAGATGGGGTGGCAGGCGTCGAGTCAAATATGCTTACAAGCTCATATTTCATCATCTCAACCAAACTTATTTACGGACCTAAGCAGTCTCGGTCAAAGATTTTCTTTTTGGTCATTAGGGCTTGAGGATCAGAATGGGAGATTTAACCTTTGACAAGTCTGATCTACGAAGCGTATGGTATATAGACGCTAACACACGCACACATACACATATTCCTACAATTGAGCAAAAATAACAGGACCAATACGAAAGAAAATTAACCAAACTACTCTATTTCGATGTATTTCGTATTTTGATTTTTAATCTTTCGGCTCGGTTGAGTGTATATAAGAAGTAAGATAGAGCCGGATAGTCTTCTTGCTTTCGTGTTAACGTTTAACTTTGACAAGAATGAAATCAAGCTCTGATGATGTCCAACGGTAGATGGACGAAAGGTCAGCACGTTTCCACTCGAAACGAGGCAGGAAGTTTCGTGGACTGCGTCAACATGGACATCGTCTAAAATCCAAACGGTTGCAGTACAACGAGTTTCATCCGTCCTCTTTTTCTGGTCAGATGGACCAACGAATCTCTTCCTCATTCACTTTCATTCGAAATCAAGGTCCGCCTAACAATGTCATCTCCGGAGATTCATCGAGACCAACTTTCTCTTCATATCTGAAATATGTGAACCAAAGAGAGAGCAGATGGATCTTACGGAGCAAGAGAGAGCCTGTGATAAAACCTAGGGAAGGAGGCCTGCGCAAGAATAGGGCAGACTCTGATCAACATTTCCAGAAGGAGCGGGAAGGAGGTGAAGGGCTGAGAAAGCCATCTTGAAAGCCGATCGAGAGGGCGCCCCATACCACATTTAAATAAGCAAGTACAAATTGTGATCGTGAAGGTGTGACACGAGGAAATGGGAGAGGTGAATAGCCCATGAGAGAAAGAGAGATACCACAACTGGTTAGCACACGTTTGGTCACTTGTCTCTTCGACGAGCTGTCGTGTGTTGCAAATACTGGCAATGCTCACTGACGATGCCGGTGAAACGTCTGGGAATGTACCCCGTCGACGGTCCTACTCTGGAAATGATGATGTATAAAATGGACTCCGAACAAGGTGTGTTCCTCTAACTCTTCCTACCAACATGACCAAGTTGTGAAAACAAGGTCAAGCAACTTCTTTACAACGAAAGCAGACTACGACCACACAAAAGATCACACCATCTTGGTCTTCATACCTTCGAAAAATGATATGATTATGTTTGCAAGTAGTAGTATTAGTAGTAATGGTAATAACAGCAGCGATGGTTGGATAAATTTGTCATCATGTCTAGGCTAACGACTATGCTCATGCTCAGGAGCATGATGACTGTGATGAGTATGATGAAGAAATTTCGATCGTAATATCGTTGGTTTATGCGATTAATACAATAATCCTAATGGGACTGGTGATGATCATTGCTAGTATTAGTAGTCGTAGTAGCGGAAGTAGGAGTATCAGGACTGGGTCGAATAAAATGTGGGCTTGTGATGATGATGATGTTGATGATGATGATGATGATGAGGTGACTTTCATTTCGGACGCGAGCGTGTGAGACTGTAAAGAGGAAGAGAGCTTAAAAGGGGGATTGCATGAGAAGATGACCACGCGCTCGTCCGTTGGCTTGACTGAAACCTTACGTGTAAATTTGTTGGGTTGCATAAAAGCGTACCAAACCAACAAACCAAGCACAATCTAAAACCGCCAACCTTAAGAAAGTGCAAAAACCTCGGTTTTTGCATAAGCTTTTTGGAGTTGGGGTGATATGTTTTCATTGCATTAGCATAAAATCATAATTGGTTTAAG